GGGTAAACTAATGGTTACTTTCTGGTATTGTATGAAAATGCTCCAGATGTTGTTTTACTAAGCATAAGGGATCTGATATATACTGACATGAATCTATGAACCAGTATGGATATACTGGAGTTGGTATTTTATGAGAGAACATCAGGGGTTTAGTTTTATACAAACACAAACATCAGTATGGAAAGTTGTCAGACATTTCTTGTAGTTGGTCATCAAGACCATGCACAGGAATTTTGACCCAGTCCTCTTTACAGAAACTCTCTAAATCTCTAAGTCCACTCCATGGCCTAAATGCACTTCCTCTTTAGCCTTTGTTGTCTTGGTGGTACTTTTTGGATGATTTAGATGGGTTGTGGATGGGTCTTCCAGGAAAACAATGTTCTGGCTGAGGAAAGGAGGTTCTCATTCCAGATTTTATGGTATATGGGTCCATCTGTTAGCCCCTCAATGCAGTTAAGTCATTCTCTACCCTTAGCAAAAAGCATAATGTTTCCACCTCTGTGCCTTGCTGTGGCAATGGTGTTCTTTGGGTCATACTTAGCATTACAAATGGCAAATGGCCTGCATTTGTATAGCACTTTTCTAGTCCATAGGACCCCAAAGCGCTTTACACTACATTCAGTCATTCACACACACATTCACACACTGGCGATAGCAAGCTACATTGTAGCCACAGCTGCCCTGGGGCGCACTGACAGAGGCGAGGCTGCCGGACACAGGCGCCACCGGGCCCTCTGACCACCACCAGTAGGCAAACATGGGGTTAGTATCTTGCCCAAGGATATTTGGCATGCAGCCAGGATGCAGCCTGGGATCGAACCACCGACCTTCTGATTAGTGGCTGACCTGCTCTGCCACCTGAGCTACAGCCACCCCTACCCTTTCTCCAAACAAGTAGATGCTGCTCAACTTTGGTTTCATCTGCTTTCTCTTCTTGGGATGATTCACCACCTTACTCATGATCATCCTCACCACATATGGCAAGATCTTGTATGGAGCTCCAGAAGAAGTATGATTGATGATCATTTCTTGTTTCTTCTATTTCCAAATAATCAAACCAAAACTTGTCACCCTCTCATCAAGCTTCTTCCTGATAGTCTTGTTGCTCTAGTCTACAATCTTGTCCCTGATGTCCTTGGACAACTCTTTGGTCTTACCCATGGCAGTGGAGAGGTTAGAATTGAAGAAATTGATTCTGCAGACACACATGCTTTATACATGTAATGATTTGAGATCAGTCAATTAAATAACATTCGAGTACAATCTCTGGAAGCCAGAATTCTGGCTGGGTTGTAGGAGATCTAATACTTATTTCACTCAATGACTTGACTTTTTGGTTGATATTCTGTCACTCTCTCCATTACCACGAGAATACCATAAATATTAGTGACTGTTAATTTTTTTTGTGATAACGCAAACTTACAAATTCAGCAAAGCATACTTACTTAACCACTAACCACTCAAGCAGATCAATGCAAAAAATAAAGCAAAACATAAGGAACACGTGAAAGAGCCCAAGGTGTTGACCACTTCCAGCACCCTGTCCTGTGTCCTTGTCCTCCATCAAACAGTGAGAGCCTATTCACAATATAGAGCTGATGGGTTGTAGTATATGTGTTTATTTCCTTTTTCAGCAGCCCTTTAATCCTTAATATGCATGGGTCGAAGTCCAGAAAGACTGCAATACAAGCTGTTGTGACACTATGACATCATCTCTGGGGCTTGTCTGAGCTCCATGGGAGACAAAATATTATTCAACTGTTTTTACAGGCTGAGTTGTAATTACCCCTTGTGGGTCGACTAGACCAAACTGATGGACAAAATTGAGGGGGGACCCTCTAAAATCAGACAGTGAAAGTATGGTGAATTCTTTTCTTTCTTAATTTTTCATCCAAAGCAGTAATGTGTTCCAGAAATGTCTAAACTGTGAGTGGAGTAAGACTGAGTCAGGTGTCACATTCAGCATTACAAGACTTCATGAAAAATAGATTATACTGCAAAGCTTTTCAGCTGTAACCCATATCTATAGACTAGAAATATATAATCACTGGTGCCAGGTTTCAAAAAAATCGTTTATAGTTTAACTGCAACACCCAAACACATGACGAAGAATAGACAACAAAGAAAACAGATGCCGGTGTAGTTTAGGAACTCCAGCCAGAGATGAAACAGAACTGTGTACGGGGATCGCCTGCAGAGTCCCTGCCACCAATCCTTATAGAGTGGGACATGATGATTAATGTTGTGCTCCTACCTGTTGAATCGTTTTGCACGCCCACACTTGGATGACAAGCAGACAAGCTCATAAAGAGAGGTTCAGGGAGAAAAAGCAGAGGCTTTGGAGAGGGTAGATTAAGAACAAAGAGATGCCATTTACAAGCCTCAAAACTTCCCCAGTCAAGTCTGTGCTGAGCCACAAGTTTAGATAGCACTGGCAAGGTCATGGGAGGTAACATGAGTTCACATCAGGTGAGAAGTCAAACATACATATTGTGTATAATCCAAGCAAATAAACTATTCTTAATTAAAACCATTACATGACTGGGCCATTCATGGTATGTTTGCACAAGCTGTTAGTAAAAGTTAACTTCCCCCATTAAATGAAAATAAGCACAAATAAACAATAATTACACAGGGCTCGAACCCTTCATATGGCTCTTGCTGCTTAGTCACGTCCTTCGAATAACTACCTTGGATAAACCCCAAAGGAACACACAGCTGAGAACCTCAGAATCTGTGACTCATGAGCCCATAATGTGACAGGTTTATAATGAAAGTCAATGAGAGGGTGCATCAGGAGTAATCAGCAGTGGCATGGCTATATACAGTCAGATTTTTTTTCTCTTTCTTCTTTTCAGTGTTACCAAAAATAGTTTAGGATTGTGTTTTTGTGCTGAATCTGATGGAATAACTCTCATTACAAGGAAAACATACGACCTTGAAGATGGTCTGATACACTGATAGGCAGCTGTATAAAAAAGTGCACTAAGTGGTTGCTAGAAGGGGACAAAATCTCTTGACACAGGACCATTTAGGACCCAAGTGTGATCGTGCAGGGATAAAGCATGATACACTCTTTACAAGCATCCACAACAGGTTTATTGCACTGTAAAGTGTCTGTAGCAGACAGTGGGTTTGACTCAGTCTACATCTTGCAGGAGCTAAAGAAAAGAAACCATAATGACTGACCTTGTTGCAGTATTTGGAGTTTTCTGCTGTTAGCAAAATCCCACATTTTGCAAATCCTTTGCACAGCTAGGACACTACATGTATGTGACACAGGTGCTACATTGTTTTTTACAAAGCAGCACATGACTGAAATTTGCTCATTTGGATTTAGTAGGGGAGACCGGGGATAGTTGTAACATTTTTGACATTTCTGTCTGTAAATTGAAGCTCTTTTAAGGTAGTGGATTCAAAATGTAATGCAAAGTATTTACATGTCTCTGCTATTAAATAGTGCAGCTATTTTCTCTGCAGCACAATTACCCATTGCATGGTATGGTCTCAAACACAAAGAGTGAAATGTTACAATTAACCCCATAGTCTGGGTTAGTTGTAACATATCCCGGGGTGAAATGTAACACAATGAAATAAGGGTACTAACAAAATATTAACATGTAATCTTTGTTTATTCAACACATGAATGCACTTAGAGCCATTTATGTAGCTGTGTGTGTGTGTGTGTGTGTGTGACAGAATGCAGAAATCTAGCTTTTGAACATATTCCAACCCCCCAAAAAAGACAAATTATGGAATTTTCTGCAACTGAATATTTCATTAATTTTGGTTGGTCTTCCTTGAGTTTGGCCTCATTGGCTCAGTGGCCATTATAACCTACAACTCTTGCACCAATTTTGAACATAACAATGAAGCTGAAAAAATGTAGTTGTTCACCAGCATCGCAATTCCATTACTTTTTATCATGGCTTACCTTGGTGTGGTTTGCAAAGTTCTTCAGAAAGATGAGGAAATCTGTTTCTTGCACCCATCCTGATTTATTTCCACTACCAGTACTTCCTACTGGTCCATCTCTGACACAGTGGTCTGCATAATGTATGTGTGGGAACACAAACAGTGGAGGAATTGTGTTGCCAATGGCATTAACCACATATACAAATGCGACCAGTGAACCTCTCTCTGCTGATGTCGTTGCCCCAACTTGTTTAATATAAGTTAAAGTAATAGTGTGGTAAGTTGTAACATCTGCATTATTGTTACAACTAACCCAGACTGTTGCTGTTACAACTGACCCAGACTCCTATAGCCATGAACTAGCTAACATTACAGCCAACAAAACATTAGCACTAAAGACCTACACAGAATATATCCCCATAGACATACAAATAACACAATTTAAGTTTGATGAGTTTAACTGCAAAGCAGATAATGCTATTAGAAATTGAAATAAAGTAGAAAAACTTACTTTTTGGCATACAAATTACTTTTTTTCGTGTTAAATTGTCTGTGTTTGACAAAATGTGCTGATTTTTCACATGTGATAGCAGAGCTGAATTGGGCATGCACAAGATGAGTCACATCATTTGAAACTTAGCCCTGATTGGAGAAATTGGAAGTGTTACAACTGACCCACGTTACAACTATCCCCGGTCTCCCCTAGTGCTTTTTCGCGCTGCTTTCACAGTTTTTGCGCTTATTTTCTGGAAAAGACTGAAGAGAATCTGTACTCAGGTCTACTAATTTATCATTCTAATTACTCCGGCTTCATTAATGACTATTTATAATATTGCTTTGCAGTATTATGTTCCAAACAGAAGGACTAAATACCAGCCAAAGGGGGTTTTCACAAGCTGACAACTCAGAGTAACATTTCAGACTCCACCGTGGATTCGTGATTTAGACAGCCTACTTTTTGCAGCGTGATGCCTCCCCTCCCTCTCCTCCCCTCTGCTGGCCCCGGCCCCAGAACAGGCGTAAGCCATCAACAGTATGTTCGCAGTCTCAGGCTGTGTACTAGGAAACATGAGCAGGGTGAAATATTCAGAGTCCCGGGCAGCGCGGCGCAGGCCACTCGATAAAGCGGAGGAGGAGACGGCGGTCCGTGCGGTTTGAGCTCAGGATCTCAGGAGGGGAACATGTGAGCAGGGAATGGGTGACTGGAAACAGGATTATTGCTCTACACAGCAGAGAGACGCAGGAGGGACCCGGGACAGGTAACTGCACTCACAGTGATTTACTGCAGCAGGAATGGAGCCGCGTTACTGAGACTCAGGACAGGGATGATGTAGAGGACAAACACGTATACAACTTTGAATGAACTGGACCGAGTTTGCATGGCTCTTTATTCTCACTTGTAACCCCATATAGAAAGCTAAATACAATAAACGTGACACAGGTTGTAACTTAAATATTACTAGTAATACTACTAGTAGTAGTAATATCGCTTTGTGTTTTATTTCAGTGCTGTTGCTGCGCGGAATTTGCGCCAGGTTAATGATGAAAGCTCAAAGGTGCTTCTCTTGTCAGGACACATTCAGTATTCGACTAGAAGTTACAAATTGAGGGTGAAAGGAGGAAAAAATAAAAATGTCACATTTTTGTGAAGGCTGTAGGTTTGTTTGTATTAGATTTAAAAAGGGAGGAGGAGTGGAAGCACCAAACAAAATAAACCATTCACGAGTTCTTGACGCGCGACCACAGAGCAGAGGACGATACTTGGAGGTGAATTCCACTTGAACACATTTTACAAACTCAAATTTAGTGTTTACCGTTCAAATCTTGCAGTACCACTCCCCTGCTGTCTCCTGCAAATAAAGTGGAAGTGCATTAAATTGAAGAGAGTGGAATTTTGTCACGTAGAAAAATCAGATAAAGAGTTAGTAAGTTTATTGCAGCGCTGCATTAACGAGTCACATAACATTTATTTACTTGTCTCATAACTGATCTGCTGTCTGCACGCATTATTCACAGTTTTATTTATGTCAATTTCCTCACGCATACCTTTGCACATCAATGGATATTTGTGCATAATGAGTCTGCACAAGTGCTTCTGTTGTTTTGTTTGTAAAGCAGCTGATGCATCAAAGCTTCGCTGTTAGGTACGATCTGCTTTAATCAGATTGATCAGCTTTTTAAATGAAGTGTAAATAAATGAGCGAGCACATTTAATAAGGTTTGGAATTTCAATTTGTCAGAGAAATTTTTAAAGTGTGTTTTAAAGTACTGGCATTATTAAGTGGTTTTTTGTTTTTTTGTTTTTTTGTGATCCTTGTGGCCAAAGGTCAAGTTGTAATAGTTTCCCTGGCGAATTTACTTGTCATCCTCCGAGGTATTTCTGAGCACGCTTTGTGTAAAATATGTACACTTGTTCCACAGAAGAGACACTGGGACACTGTGACAACTCCGTGGATTTCCTTCCCTCCTTCTGATATTTTACGCGTCAGAGAAAAACGGTGGATTGTCTGACCAAAGATGAACACCATCGTCTTTAACAAGTTGAGCAGCCAGGTTCTGTTTGAGGAGAAAGCGAAGGAGGTGGAAATGAGCAGCAGAAATTATCTAGAAGTGATCGACGGACAGCATCCAGACCTCCTCTCCAGCAACCAGACCATCAGAGACAACCAGGCGATCAGACACCGGCGGAGCGGGTATGTGGAGCGTTCTGTTATGGTTAACGCTGCTGGTCAGCATGTGCGGAGTTGGATTAACTGGAGTTCCCCTCCGGGGTGTTACTAATGAGGAGTGCCTCTATTTCACGGTTATTTCTCCCAGCACGAGCTAACAGAACGAGAGAGAGGGAACAACAATGCTGGTTTTGTTATCAGAGCGCTGTGGTTATCGCTCCAGTTTGTGCGCAGAATTAAAGACAGCAGACCAAACACCCAAGCCAGACTTTTGGGTTCAGATCCTGTTAAAATAAATATTTAATCCATGTGTGTGCACGAGCCTCACTGAGTTGTAATACAGATGCATTTATTAACATTTGGATTTGATAAAGTACCAGCAGCAGTGCGTAATTGCGCATTTATGCACAAACATTTGAAACTTACGCCGGCCTCAATAAGCCACAATTTTGGTCGTTTATAGGTCCCAACATTATGCTCTAGATCTCCGCACTGAAAGAAAAAATAATAATAATTAGTAATAATAATAATAAAAAAGTCTAGCTTTTTTTCATGTGGATTTAATGCACCAGGATTCTAGGGCTCAGGGAATTTATATTTCCCAATCTGGCCTTTATTTTGGTGCTGATGTTCACAGCTAATCTTAGAGTTAATAAGTAGGTCAGCCTTGTTCAGTAGCGGAGGTCTCCATCTGTTTTCAATAAATAAATTCACCCTTGAGCTCTCTGTGTGGTCTAGTCAATCATGTAAGCGGCCATTGATTTTTTTAAACTATATATTTTCTACAATAGGAAGCAGGTGTAGGTGAAGATATGTCCTGATATGTCCATGTTTTTTAGTTTATATCACAGCAACCTGGGGCAAAGCAGGTATGTTAAGGAGCCTTGTGAAGAAGAAACCCTCAGTAATATTAAAAGAATTCTGTGTGAACTTATGTGAGTTGTAGGTGTTTTTTCAGGGGATGGATAAGGCTAACAAAGTACATTAAATTTTTAAACAGAGTGCGTGTGTGAGAGAGTGTGCTTAAAGCCAAAGTTCAGAACATGGAATGAAATATCCTTTAAGATGTTCATAGCGATCTGCATTACAAGGAAAATATTTGTAGAACATGAACCTCGGGTAGACTTTGAGGTTAGACTAAAGTATGTTACATCTACAGTGAGAGCAGCTTTTTGGTGAGATAAAAGGAGAAATGCAGCACAGCACCATACTGACATCTACAGGTTCATAAGACCTGGAGCTACAGGTGAGACTGAGTCCTTTACAGCTCAGGAAAAGCAGACTCAAAGAAAGACTTTCTAATATATATTTAAGAGCTCATAGAAAATTCATATATTGTCATTTTTCATCTTGTGTAATTTCACTGTAGTGATCTTTTATGAGTTGCTGTTGTAGCTGTACTCACCACTGAGTTGCTGAATTGGGATTTGAGAAAATATATTTGCGATCTTCCAGGCCACAGAGTATATTCCCTACTTTGATTTTCTGTAAGTGAAAACCAGAAGTATAATTTCAGCTTTTTGTCCGTCCCTTGTGTGATGGTTTGGCTCAAGCCGTGGCCTCTGTTACATTGTTCTTGATCCACTTTTGCTGGGTGTGAAAAGTTAATCTGGCAAATCTTTGTGCCTGAGTAGAATGTTTTTGTTTGTTTCATAGCAATGTGTTGGCGGCTTGTGGGACACGCAATGAAAAATAAACTGCAAGTGGCTATTCTCTTTCTCCCCCTCACTGACTCAGTCTCTCGTTCTTTTTCTCCATCTCTACATCCCTTTAACATCTCTCGGCTTAATTGCAGTGCTTTTGGTGAGAAAATTGCACACTCTGTAGAGTTTTCACTTTATGTGTCATGACTAACAAAGTCAGGCAACTTGCCGCTCCACTTAGGACTCAACTTGCTGCTCGCATAACACCGTTTGTTCATTTCAGTATACAGCACGATCCTGATTCTGTTTCATTGCTTTAAATTCAGATTTTATCACATTTTTAAAAGCAAAACAATTTGTTTACTTTTTAGTCTTTATTCAAATAAGACAAGCATTGTGTTAACTCATAAACGCACTGTGGGCACATCTCCTATCTTACTCATAGAAGGAAGATGTGTTAAAAATTAGGCATTTAAAGAAAAGATAAAAGATTCTACAAACTCAAATACCAGATACATACTCTACCCGTTTCTTCACAGGGGTCGTCCCAGTGGTGGTAAAGTCCGACACAAACGTCAGGCCCTGCAGGACATGGCGCGGCCGCTCAAGCAGTGGCTCTACAAGCACAGGGACAATCCCTACCCCACCAAGACAGAGAAAATCCTCCTGGCACTCGGCTCCCAAATGACGCTGGTTCAGGTGAGACCACTTTCTGGTAATCCTTCAAACTTCCAGGTCAGGTGACAAAGAAATTGACGGTGAATACAGAGCATTAGAGTTATGTTTAACAGTTAAGGTTGATGTCTGTTGTTGAGAGCATTGAAAAGCTGTATTTTCATTTGCACTTGAAGTAAGTGGAACATGCGTTTCATCTTGAGTACTGTGCACCTATGCAGCAGCACTGAATATTGTTGTTTCTTCACACTATTGTAAAAACACTTTGCCGATGACTGCTTTAGATTTACATTATTTTATAGGTCAGTTGTGAAAAACATAGACGCATTTATATATTTTCATTCCTTTATTTCTCAAGAAAGCCTCACATTTTTCTTTAGCTTCAAACCAACAAAGATTATACAGTAGTTACATTGTAATTATCAGTTCAGTTTTTCACAAACTTCACTTAGTTGCAAATAGAATTTTATGTCATGTAACTTTTTTGACTTTACAAGAAAGGCAATTAATTGAAATTAATTTGAAGCATTACTCTGGTTTTTTTTTAATAAGAATTCTGGAAAAATGGTGAAATCAGTCTTTTTTATTATTATTATTTCTGCGTAACACGGATGTATTTTTATGCTGCATTTTCTTTTGGCAACACTTCATTGGGACTTCACGCGGGACCTCGAAGTGATCCCAACCCAGAGTTTGGGATCCTCTGATCTGCAGTAATGCAGTTAGAAATGCAGATTTCATATACGCTTTAAGCTTTATTGCACCCTCTGCTGATGATGCCAGAGTACAGTGGACGGCTTGACTTTAGCGACTGACCGCTGAGAGGAAAACCCAGTGGAGAATATGAGTGTGTTTGGTGTCTGGCACGTGCAGCTGTGTATGTACAGTATCATCTGGCTGACAAGGTCACTGATACAGCCTCAGAAAGTCTGCGGCGGCTTTTTTGGGCTGCCGGCCACGGTGCTTAATCTGGTTCTCATTTTGGGGGCCTGATAGAGCTGTTTGTTTTGGTGAGGGCGAGTAGAGTGCAGAGGAATGCTTTGTGTTGGACACAGGGGTGCTGTGCCGCTCACACACACTACCACACAACCTCACACACACTCATGCATGCGTTTAAGCTGACACTCAAATACCAGCAGCAGCGTCAAAGGTCAGTGGAATATTTCATGATGGTGAGTGTAGGTATGCAAGTTATAATTGCATTTTCCAGCATGAAGGAGGTATAAAAGTTTTATTAATTCATTTTTAATTGATTTTCTGTTAAGTGTGCGTTGCTGAGTCAATGTATCAGCAAATCAAATAGCTGACTGACATCAAACTGCCACAAATGCACTGCTTCTAAAATCTCAAATCAACCTGGAGACAATTTTTCTCTTATTTGTTGAACTTTTGAAAGGATATAATCTTTAATTAATGGGCATTTGGGACATAAGCCACAATTTTAAAAAGTGCTGAGACCATCTGATGATTGTATTTTCTCATTTTGTAGACTAAACTAATTTATATAGAGCCATTAAAAAGTGTTATATGATAGCACCAGCTAACTGTTGACTCACATTTCTTTGCCTGTCCATTGATTGAGGATGAGAGCTACCCGTTTCTTCCACTGTTTAGTCCAGAAATGTAGAATGCATCACTTCCTGTGCATTTTCCCTGGAAACACCCACCTGGCACCAGGTGTTTAAAACAACTAAATCTGTCATGTTTTAGCAAAACAGCCTGTTCTTTCCATGTAAATATTGTGAATCAAGTGTGCTGAAAATCCAGTCCCATCTCTCCATCACCACTGAAATCCCTCGCCGTCCCTGCATGCCGTCTCCTCTACGGTACACACGCGGCTGACAAGCCACGGCTGAGAGAGCTTGGTTTGGCGATTGGGTCCAGCCTTTTTAGGCGTCACCATCTCTGTCTCTTTTCCCTGAGCCATTCTTTCCCCGGCTCTCATAAGCAAGCTGTCTCGTGTCTCACCTCGCAAATTCACAAGATGCCACCGTCCTCCTGGTGTGCCACGGTGCTGGGCTCGCGACAGAGGGATGTGGGATGGTCTTAGTTAACAAGAAACATGATACTGAAAGAGAGGATCGGAAAAATAAGTACTCTAGCATAAGGCCTCTGTCTCAGCCCCTTCATAAACTGCTTGAAATCTATTGAGCATGAAAAGTTTTTCTTGTATAATATCTAATAGTCTCCATTCCCAGTGAAAGGAAGAGCGCTGGATCAAGTGTCTCTTTTGAAGACACTCATCTTGAAGACAGTGTTGGAAAAAATGTCTTATTGGTGGGAGGCCGTGCGAGTCCAAAATAAGCATGGGCAATGCACGCCTCAGCTAGAACGTTAGTTAATGAAATGTTGCGTTCGCTGGCCATCCGGCGTTTGAATGGTGTTAAATGTTTCTGCATGTTACTGATACAGAAAGGATGCATGCTGCGGTGTCTCTCTGGAGCGTCTGGGTTGTTTCTTAAGTCTCGGCCTCAAAGAGCTCCTCTGCAACCCGACTCTATATCTGTCTTTTGCTTCGGTCTTGCTTGGTTTTTCTGAATGAGACTGATGGCAGGCAGAGAGCAGACGTTTTCTTAGGGGATAGACTTTGTTTTGCTGGATATGGAAGAATTTGGAATCCAAACAATAACATATGTTTCTATTTGCTGTCCGTTCCCACTTCCCTCTTATTTGTCTTACTCACTCTCTCTCTTAGGTGTCCAACTGGTTCGCCAATGCCAGGAGGCGACTGAAGAACACAGTGAGGCAGCCAGACCTGAGCTGGGCGCTCAGGATCAAGCTGTACAACAAATATGTTCAGGGGAATGCAGAGAGGCTGAGCGTTAGCAGCGATGACAGCTGCTCAGAAGGTACGGTTTCTGAATCGTCAGCCATCCCATTTGAGCAACGCTGAACCAGGTTTACTGGGATGGGGGAGTGGTCGTCCTTTGACTAATTTCACCTCAAAGGAAGGATTATTAGCCAGCAATGTCAACACTCAATTTCCCCAATCCAATCCAACTTTATTTATAAAGCACTTTAAATAGCCAGCACAGGACCAAAGTGCTGTATAGTAAGTAAGTTAAGAACAATAGAATAAAACAAAAATAAAACACATAATACATAAAAATTAAATTAAAACAGACCTATATATATATATATTAAAAAAAACAGCATAAAACAACATAGAATCAACTAATAAAAATAAACTAAAAACCAACATGAAGAGATGGGTTTTCAGAGGTGATTTAAAAACAAGCAGAGAAGAGTCTAATCTCTAAAGGCAGAGCGTTCCACACTTTTGGAGCTACTACAGCAAAAACACGATCTCCTCTAAGTTTACACTCAGTCCTAGGTGCATTCAGAAACAGCTGATCAGCTGACCTGAGAGAGCGGGTGGGTGTATAAAGGCTGTAACAGCTCAGAGAGATAAGATGGGGCTAGACCATGGAGGGCTTTGAAAGCAAATAAAAGAATTTTAAAATGAATCCTCAAAGGAATGGGCAGCCAGTGAAGTGAAGCTAAAATAGTGCTCACACTTTTGAGTGCGACGAGCTGCAGCATTTTGCACCCTCTGTAGATGAGTCATTGATGAAGCACTGACCCCTATATAAAGAGCATTACAGTAATCCAGCCGGGTGTAAACAAAGGCATGGATAACTAACAACCCTTTACTTACTAGCGTGTTTAATTTTGATCTACAATATGATTAATTAGTTTTATTCACACAGTTATAATTAAAAGGGTGCCCTGTTTAACTTCGTTCACATGAACTGTAAAAACATATTTATATTGTCTTCTCTCCCAGGAAGCTGGCATAGATACAGTGCACGTGCTGTATATTAGTCACTTGTGACTCATTCGTATTTATGGAAGTTTTCCATCACATATAACTTTACATAGAACACATATAAGATCATTGTGTCCCATCAAATTTGTGTTGTTCCGACTGAGAGATGACATATCTATCAATCTATCTATAGATAGATAGATATTTTTTAATGTTTTTTTCTTTCTTTCAGTGAAACAGAAACAAGATTTTTCGGTGTCCATAGTATCAAAAATTTGTTTTTACTTTATATCTTTAAAAAAAGAACTGCCCGAAATGATCATTAGAAGCATGCACTAATCAGACTTGTACCATGTGCACCCATGCACAGCACACAGAGCAGATTAATTCTTTTTCCATTCACCAAAGCATATTATCCATTTTCATTGGCACCAGTTAATCTAACAGAATTTTAATAATGATGATATTTGAAAGGCCACTCCTTCTCTGTGTGTATGAGCAGCGTTGTTCTGATTTGGTGTTTGACCCTTTGCCTGCTCTTTCGCTCTTATTCTGCAGCTCTCTGTCTCTCGCTGAGAGCATATCCTTGAATGCTGAATGTTAGAATAATTCAATAATGTGCATTAAAGAACAGTGGAAAACGTGTGCTGCTCAGTCAGTTTGATGGAAGATCACTTCTGAGATATCACATAATAATGGCTCTCTTATATAAACTGGTCACATGCTGCGAACCTGATGCACTCTGTACCGACTGACCTGCGAACTTACATCATAGTTGTTGTACCCCCAAAATTTTAAATGTAGTGTCACGGAGTGAACCGGCGCCAAAGGCCAGTCCACCTCCTTCTGAGTTCCTCCTAAAGTGGCCCGACGCTCTGCAGAAACAGTGTTCTGGGCTGGATATAAATGGTGATCCAGCTGAGAGACGCCGAGGCCGATGGGCTGCGACACGCTGTCATTAGGACACCCTGCTGAGCCAACCTCTGCCTCCTAGTCTGCAATTGCAAATGAGCGGCTCCCTGTCAGCGTAGTGTATTTACTGCAAACACATGTTGATCCTCAGAGGGGAGAGACTGCCTTTTTGTACTCCATGACAGCACAGAAAACATGGGTAGGAAACATAAAAAAAAATACAACTTATATCCCCGAGCAGTGAAAGAATAGAGAGAAAGGACGAGCGCTGTGGTGTCAGTGATCTCTAATTAGATTTTTGAGGAGCAGAAGCCGTGTGCGGCTCACAGAAGAATGTGTGCATGGTGTTTGCATTGTGTCTGCCACAGGCCACTGTACCACCGGAGGCTCTGTATATCTCCCTGACTCTTCTCCCTGTCATATTATGGTTATGAAGCTATCCGCAGCCTGCTTCCACTTCTGACCCACGCGCTAAAAGGCCCTCTATTATGTTTTTAAGCCTATGCTTTTGTTCCAGAGTCTATTTATGGGGCCAGATCTAACCCCACTGACCCGGAGTGCATTCCTCTTACTGTCTGAAATGGTCCAGCTTGTTTTGGAGTTGAAGTGCAGAGAAAATGTTGTTTTCTGTTTTGTGAACTGGAGTGTCATGGAGGTGCGAAAAGGGGCCTGTTTTCTTTAAAATACTGCAAGGATTTGATGTGAAAAGATTTATTTTATTGTCTGAGTGACAACAGGAAAAATGCTGAATATCTGATGGCGCATAGGAAGGAGAGCAAATACTCTCCATCCATGTGTTTCTGATATGTGGGAGCTATAATTTTAATTTGGCTCCGGCTGAATCAAATGTCCAACCTGTCCAAATTACAAAATTATGGTCTTGGCAGAGACGGTATCTAGAGCGAACTTCTCCCTAATTTCCCTTCTGCCAGAGGATATCTGGTTCTTCTGTGCAGTGTTTTATCTTCCTACCCCCCCACCTTTTCATCAGGTTTGGACCTGTGCTTTAATTCAGTGTCTCCAGTTGCAAAGCAGCACCCTGGAAATTATTTATTTCTGCAGGGGAACTTAGGGGCCGCTTGCTTTTGATGGAGAGGAAATTGACTACCATCCGTTATGATTCAGTAATGCTTCTTAAGTCTCGGCTGTGCTTCCCGCTCTTGAAGGAGAGCCAACGGGAGGGCAGGAGTGCCAGGTTCAAATCTCCCTGCCTCGTATTTGGATTCAAGTTCAGCTCAAAATAACCAGCACCCGAGTCAGATGGGACGCGCAGAACTTGGAAAATTATTTTAACTCTAGAAATACAATATTTGCTGAAGAAAATGTGCGTGATTGTTATATACACTTGTGCTAACTGGAGCTCCAGCCGCAATTCCTGTTTAAACTCCCCTTAATGCATTGACTGAGTTCCATGTGCAGTAGTAGAGATCGGAATCTTTAAAACATTTTATGCATTTTGGGCATTTAGCACTGATTAAGTACAGTGTTTAGCTTGTGAACTACATATGTGGTAACTGTGGGTTTATGTGCAGTCAGTGACTGCGACAGTATTGTTTGCACACAATGACAGAAACCTGAAAGCAAATGAAACACAACAAATACAAATCCATATCATCCAATATAACATTTCCATTAAGGAACAGTGTCCAACTTCTATAGCTCATGTTTAGAAAATTAAAAAAAAAAATCTTAATTTTTTGAAATCTCTTAATAAATATATAAACGTGTAACATGAACTTGAAAAGGTTTGTGTGATTCACAGTTCTAATCTTACCCCCTCCTCCTTAATTCAAGTCTTTTGATCGGCTGATCCTCTCAAACGCAAATTCTGAACAGCAGTTGAGTGCGGCGTCTGCTGACAGCTGTGAAAGTGTAAGAATATATTTCTGCAGTCCATCTAAATGAGTATTCTTATCCTGGCACAGATGGGGACAACCCTCAGAGGACACAGAGTAGCCCCGAGGAGCTCAACAAGCCCATGTACCAGAGTGTGATCAAGAAGGAGGGCTCCTCCATGGTGGGGATGGCCATGGGCATGGGCATGAGCATGGGTATGGGCGCGGGGCTGCGTTCGGCCGCCGAAGCCGCCTCACTGGCAGAGGACTACGTGTCTCCACCCAAGTACAAGAGCAGCCTGCTGCACCGTTACCTGAATGACTCGCTGCGCCACGTCATGGTGGCCAACGCCGTCATGGACGCTCGAAAGAGAAACCACTCCGGCTCTTTCAGCTCCAACGAGTATGACGATGAGCTGCTCTCGCCGTCCTCCTCTGAGGCTGAGGCGAACTTTGTTTATCGGGCTGGTAAGAAGCCACATTTCTTGCATTCTTTCCCTTTAAGAGTCTCCTTCACACACACACGCCATCCTTCACTTTTGTTCTTTTTCTGTCCCCTCCATCTGCACATTTTGTTTTAATTCCTGCAGCTGGTCCATCTTTTTTTTCCAGCTGTCTGTCTCTCTGCCTGCCTCCCTGCTTGTGTCGATAGTATATGACGCTTTATCTGGGTTGCCAGAGCACACCCTTTAACTGTCTTTTCACATGACGTTTGACTTGCTCAATGAGATTCTTGTGACCACTGAGACCTAGTTAGCAGAGCTTGAGTGTTAAGAAGAGTTTGATTAAATTATAGCAATATCCAGCGTGTGTCCAGCACCCTAACACAAACTCGTATACACATTTGTGAACCCATGTGCATAAATGTGTCTTTCACCCACCCACAGGCAGCTCTTCTGACCTAAATGCCAGACACAACAGGGCCATGTGCATCATGCTTACATTCACACTACTGTTTGGGATGCCTTTGATTGTGACACAAAGTCCTGCTGACAGAGCAGGGCAAACAGCCTCTGTGTGTGTCTTTAAGCATAAACTTGTTTTTTTTTAACTAAAAAATGATTTTTTTTTCATCTCTGACGTACAAAAATCTGCAGTTTCCACCAAAACCAACATCATCCTAAAAGGTCAGCTCTATTTTACATCACTTCCACTGCTGCTAATGTCTTTACAGTCAGTAGAGTTGGAGGGATCATTTTCCTCCCTCTAGAAGAAGACACTTGCTTCCGTTCATTTTCTACAGAATGAAAACACTTTCATATCAAAACAGAGGATAGATTTTGTTTTTCTATGCCTATTTTAGTATTTTGATATTTTCCACTCTGCTGCTGTGTTTTAGTAGAAATGTCATGGAATGGAATTCCCCACAAGGAAATGATCCTTAAAAAATGTTTCCTAACTTTTACATGTTTTTATCTAGGGCATTGCTTTTTTTCATTTCAAGCTAGAGTTAACTTTATCAGTTTTATCTTTTTAACAAATTAATAGAAATAAAAGCAGCATGGTAAAATATTACATAGGGACTTAGTGGAGTCACTAATCTTTTATGAGGACCTTAAAAGAAGTGTGTGTATTATTGTTTTGAATTAAAATAAAAATTCCAAGTTTTCATTGTCGGTTCTTAGAAATGAGTTCCTTTAAGTCTCGGTCTTCTGACTTGAAGAGAGTCGAATCAATTAACTGTTCTCTGAAGTTATTAAATTCTGTTTCTAAAAAAGCCCTATTAGCATGTTTTGTTGTTTTAGGAAAGCATACCCGTAGTTGTTTTTGCACATTACATTACAGTAATGAGTCACCCTGAAATAATTACCCCAGTTGACTGCAGTTAGCTTGTTTTTAAGTCTGCCGGGAGAAAGCTGTGCTTTTTAACCCGAATAAGATAAAATGTCTCATAGCGATATCATTGACGCCGATGTTCTTCTAACCGTGAAGTCACTGTCAGCCCGAAGCAAATCACAAAAGCTTTGTAGCCTACAGAGGCTTTCACGGCGCTTCAGCTCACAGCTCGTCTGTGGCGAGAACAATCAGAGGTCCTCCTCAGCTGAGAACACTGGGCCATTTGTTCAAGCAGACTTCATAACCAATAGTAACGTTTTCACTTTCTGCAGAGCATGGACAGGACCTGGAGGGCCTGGATCTGAAGGTGTAGGTGGTGGAGTAATGGAGAAGTGAGAGCATGTGTGTGTGTGTGTGTGTGTGTGTGTGTGTGTGTGTGTGTGAGAGGACAAATGTGTTTCCTATTATCTGAGCATGAAGGAGCGTGTGGGGGTTGGTTTGTATGAAACGCAACAACGACTGCAACGGGTACAATTGCCTTTATCAAAAAAAAGAAGAACTTCAAACCCCTTGACCTGAACGAACATCAGGCTTTTTTCACAGTGAAGCACCTGTTGAGACTTACAGATGGAGAAAGAAAGAAAGAGACGGATAGACCAAGTGAGACTTATAACTCCTTTCTACCAGATTTTAATAAGAGAACTCCCCTCCCCCCAAAAAAGGATTAATTCATCTGGCTGACCTGCTGTTTTTAATAGAGGCTAACTATTTTATCTCTATAGCTGATATAACTTCTTGGCTTTGAGGTGTCCCTCTTGGATTTCTCGGGCTTTGGCACCATTACAGAAGTGTTACTCTCTTACATGCAAGAGAAGCTTTCAAATCCGCACATGGAAAGTTCTCAGAGGCGGCGTTGACTCATGGGATCGAACACCTGCCGGGGGCTCTCCGATCTGATCGACCTGCTCAAAGAAACGAAACAAAAGAAAAAAGTCGAGAAGATGAAATTTTAATACCGCATCTGATTCCCCCGACAGAGCAAATGACAGAGCAGAGAGAGAAATTACTTTAAGCTCGGGCTTGCGTCACTTCCTCTGCAACTTTTGAATATTTTTTTTCCTCCTGTGGGCTCCGCTTCCCAGATACTTGTGCAGTGAACACATTCCTCTTTTGCAAATAGTTTTATTGTGTTTTTATAATAAGAGAAAAATGTTTCCCCGAGTACCTGATTTCACATAAATCTGTGCTTACATCAGAAACGCAGAGAAAAAAGAAGACAGAATAAATCAACTTTAAGCTCTCTGAATGTTCCCCTGCTTTCTTTCTGACAGTGACAAAACGTCTGACATTTTCACTCAGCAGGGAGAAACAGAATTTAAACGTAGAAAAACAACAGCTTAAACACAAAACGATGTCTCTCGGTGCATTCTTTTGCCGAATTCCAGCTTGTGAACAACCACTTGCGATTGGTCAAAGCAAAAGTGGCGTGCCTGGCAACCATTGTGCCATTGGCTAAAAGTCCGTTAATAGGCCAGTTGGTTGTTGTGGCCTGAGCCCCTGTGACTACAGAGGGCAGTCAGACGTGGTAGGAGATGGTGAGTGTAGATTTACCCCAGTGGAAAACTAAACTTCTGCCAGCTTGAAAGGACTCACATACAATTCACAGGCCTCATACAAGCATAGGCACACACACATCCAGTACAAACACACACATGCACACTGCAGTCCAAAGCCTGTGGGGAATTTCATTGAACACAAGGAGCAATAGAATTCCATCACACACGCCAGGGGTTTCATGCCAAATTACCCTTTAATGGGATATTAAATGGCAGGAATCTGGCCGAGTGTTTTTCTTGTTGCTCGGTACCAGATTTCGCCCCGTCTGATATCATATAGATCATTATACGCCAAATAACTCCCAACGTTTCTGCGGGTGGAGACTGAGAGATCTTGGTCAGACGTTTTACATGAGATTGACAGTAGTGCATTTTCTCAGGTTCTACCCTTTATGGACGTTGGTTACAGCTGAGTACAGTAGCCTGATGGTGAATGTAGAGTTCTTGCCAGTGCATCTATTGATGTGGGAAAGCCCCAATAACTGCAACCTAGTCAGCGGCCAACAGCAAGTTCCCAGTAATGAGATTTTTATTTGCCTCTTTAAAGTCATGCCTCTATTAGGTTGAGATACTGTTAATAGCTGTTATCACCATCCTAAAACAGAATAAAAATGGCAGCATGTAGGTGTTAGCATGCTAACATTTGCTCATACACAGATTTTGTGAAGACACTGCATTTCGATGATTTTAGAAACGTTTTGATGTCATTTCTGCGCTAAATGCAAAGTGAGAGGACCACAAAATCATTCATTTTGTAGTTGCCATAATTGTACCCATGAAGTATCGTGAAACTCCCCCAAAAGTTGTTGAGATATTGCAGCCTGGACCAAAGTACTTGTGCAACCGCACAAAATTAGAGAAAAAAGCCTTTTAGAAATCATCAGTTTTTTCTTTCTTTTCAGCTGAGGCCGATTGGTCAAAAGCACTGAACTAAGTTAAAAAGTCAACCGTAGAACACTTTCCCCTTTTGCTGCCAGTGAATTCCTGGAACCTGTCCCATACGTTTTCACCAAAAAAAAGAAAGTGGCACAGTAAAGTTGTTGGGCTTAAAGTTGCAACCAGTGATAACATGTATGGGAGAGGTTACTACAATAAACTCAACAATGATTCTCAGAGAATTCTGTTGGCCATAAAAAATACCCAGACCAAGGCTACGTCATGTTTGGTACTCAAACCTGTCCACATGTGGTCTGCTTATCAACAGGTGCCAAGGTAGAAATGATTCTTCACTCTTGCTCAAGATGACGTGATAATTTTGAGTAAAATACAACTGAAATCTATAAAATCAAAGGTTTATTTACTCAAAGAATTAATATTTAAGAAAAATGCACTCAGTACAAACTGAATGTATACAAGTCATTTGAACAGGTTCCTTTAGATTTAACATCTTGTGTTGTAATTATGTAACAAAATTACACTGAAAATTTACATGCAATCAACTTTTTTGGACGAATAAAGTTTTTTTAAGGGTACTGCCATTTGAACTGGCTTGGCATGAGCCCCGGCAATATGCTTGCGAGAAAGAGGTAAAAGTTATTCTTCCTGAGGGGAACGTGAATATCTAGCAGCTAAAAGTGAAATATTTGTGTCGAAACCTGCCAAAATCGTGTAATTATTTATTTTTGTCACTTCCACTTGATACTTCCACTATTTATTGCATTTCCCATCAATAAGTCTATGAATTAGAGGATTTCTGCCACCGAGAGAAACAAACTGGCCCATTATTTATCACATTCAACTGACTTAAATCTAAAACTGGTGGTTTTTAACACGTAGGATTCTTAGAAACCTGTTCAATGAAAACAGCAGTGCTTGACAGGAGCCGCTGAGGTCCTAAGGGCCTTTCAAATTAGGCTGGAGCAAGTGCCAGACAGTTATTGAATCCTGGAGAGTTTCGTAGCACTTAAGGAGCTGTCGACTTGTCCAGGTGAATGGAAGAAGTCGTCTCATTGTGGAAAAAAACACCCAGAGTGTTTGGATTCCTTGTCGTGAGGTGGAAGGGTAGAGAGATGTGATGGTCACTGCCGATAAAAAGAGATTTCTATCATGATTGTTTTCATATTTTCGACTAACAAG